AATCAACCTCGTGTGTCTACGTATGTGTGTGTGGCGTGGTGCAGGCTTGAGACACAGTGTGGTCGGCTTTGAAAAGCTCGTCTGATGTGTGGTGTGAGGTGGTGATGTCGTCCCAAAAAAGAAAACTCAAGCGACGCCTGCCCATTCGTGTAGCTGGCAGGTGAATATGAAAAGGGAAGGAGGAGGAGGAAGTGAAGGCGTATGATAAATGGCTTCACTGAAATGGGTAGACAGAATGGAGATTTTAGCCTTCCAACATCACCTAAATACCCGAATGGAGTCAATTAACTCCTTAGAAAAGGCCGTCAAGCCTAATCACACAGGATTTTGTCAAAGCTGCTCGTTGATCTTCGAAGAAGGCTTCGACTAATTTTAACCCCATGCAGTATAGAATTTGGTACCACATCTATTAAAGATTTCGCTGCTTTAAAGAAATGAGGAAACCAAATTTTGCGCTGAGAAGAAGTAGTAAATTACAAACAAATCAGTGCTTAAAATGCTTTAAAATTAGCGACAAATTTTACCATCTTGCGTGCAAGCAGTTTGAGTAAATCTTTGTTTGAACTTTTTGTTCTCCATGGAGTAAGAAAATTTACCCCGAGTAGAGGAAAGACCATCGAGGGAAAGAGGAACTAGTCGGAAGGCGAGTAGCATGTTAAAGTATTAGGAAAGTGGTGGCTGATGACTTTGAGTGCCCTTTATTAAATGAATGACCTTTGATGTCTAATTCAACGTTTGACCCCTTGGCACATGGAAATATGATCTGTAGCATGGGGATGAAACATGATAGAATATGCAAATAAGACCCGGTTACATTCACCTCGGGTACATTGGACTGACCCAACCAGTGAACGATTCCCGTGGTCTGTAAGGCTGGATGAAGGATGATTACGCCTCCTGAAAAATTGCGTGTCGTCATTTAACGAAGACGTGGGGGATCAACGTGCCATGGCTAACTCTCAGTTGGTCGAGTGATGGATTGAGTGGTACCTATCTACAACAGTCGGGAGGAGAAAGTTTTAGTGGCAGCTGCTAGGCAATTGTATCCCTTCCACTTACGACAAGCTTTGGAGGAGAGAAAACAGACGACTAACATCGGATAACGGATGACAAACAGACTATCCTCTCTACTCTCATGAGCGAAACACTAATATGCCTTAAATAGGCACGCCAGACTTGATGAACATTCAAATGCTTACTAATAGACGAAACGACTAACCCACGGACCGATTGACCGACCGTCTAACAGAGTGACTAGTTGAGAG